AGAGATGAAAGGTAAGCTATGTCGAAGGAAAGAAAGACCGCAGGGGTCGTCTGGGATCTTCTAAAATGATTCATAGCCTCCGGTAATTTACATTTGCTTGCGTGGGTGATCGTCGACTCGAGGAGGGGGGACGAATAGGGGGTGGGAAGGGGGAGAAGGGGCCCGCGGCTAAACTCTTCTCTCTGCCGACTGCCATCGAAAAGGTTAAACATACACCCACCGGAGGTCACGTAACCATCGGAGAGAAAGACCGCTCAAGCTACTTCCCCCTCTTCGAAACGCAACCTATGGTCGTTGTGTACGTGTACTTTGCGCATGCAGAACGATGCACGGTTCTTGGAGGACAAAAGAGAGGAAGAGAAGCTGCAGAGATCCACTTGGAATCAGATCCTCTGAAACTGATTGGCAGGTCGCGCGTACTAAGTTTACAGAAATTGATTCGAGAGGAATTATTGCAATTTTTTTCAAGCCTCGCAAAGTTTTCTCGACATTCATGATATATCAAACTTTTCAGCTTTAAAAATTAGAATTTCGCTCGTTTAAATCACAAATTTACAAAATTCACTTTTCAGTTAACTTGAGCTCGAATTCTAACAGATATTTAATTTGAAAATTTATCTAAATGTGTGTCAAACACTGGGGGATCCCGAAGGGTGGTTTTAGAGTTGAATCCTTCCCCAATAATTGTAATCCAATTTACGGAAATATTTTCACTATTAAATATAATTTTGTAAAAAACCCTCTATTATCGACTTCAAGATTCGTTAGTGATGCCAAAATATTTAACACGATAAACTTGATTATTCATTTCTTCCTTCCCACTTTCACAAGAAGAAAAATTCAGAACACGCCATAGAACAATTCTATGGAGGAACATTCCGATTCCGAGGCATATTGTGTAGACGCGGCCGTAGAATTTGCGCGATGATTTATATATAGAGAGATAGTCTATATGAAAAAATAAAAGATGAAGAAGACAACGAAAAGCAAGCCGGGGTCGGGAGAGAAGAATAAGAACGCTGGATGGATAGGTGGAGAAACGGAACTCTCGCCTTCGGCGCAGCACGACCCGTTTCAGAGACACGTAGGTTCAAACCAAAGGGTGAAGAAGAGCAGGGGGAGGAGAGGGAAGAGAAGGCTTCTCTCCCTAAAATATGTGGACCCACGGGCAACACTCGGACTCTTCTCGTTACATCCCGCTGGACGCTCCGGGCGTATACCGGTCCGCCCGAGAGTCTGTGTATATCGTATGATACAAAAACATCGCATTATTTTTCTCTCTCTCTGGACCGCGTGCGCGCAGCCTCCTCTCTCTCTCTCTCACACACACACTCGTCTTCTTCTTATTCCTTCTCTCCGCGAAGCGCCCGCGGGCATGTGACCACCATTATGCCCATCCTCTTCTTCTCTGGTCCCGCGATCTTCCTTCCCTCTGTCCCTCGTTCCTCTTTTCGTCCTTCTCCGCACAACCTCCTTCCTTCCTCGTTCACTTCCCATCTCCGAGATATCTTTTGCTTCGAGAATTATACGTATCCGAGTCGAGAAAGGTGATCGCGCCATCACCGGCTAATTAATTACGACGTGCTCGTCTCGAAACGATCCCTACGCGTTTCCGGATTCCACATTTTTTCGGAAATTAATTTCCCACGACGTAAAAAAAAGCGCTATCGCGTTACAACGATAATATTGTCCTTCCATGAGATAAATTAATAAGGAGAAAAAAGAGGATCCAGTTTTTATATGCAATAAAATGACAACAAAAATTAAAAGAATACGGATATACTCAAACTCTGTTGAAGTTCCTTCCTTGTTCGCTTCCCATCTCCGCCGTCTCGAGATATCTTTTGCTTCGAGAATTATACGTATCCGAGTCGAGAAAGGTGATCGCGCCATCACCGGCTAATTAATTACGACGTGCTCGTCTCGAAACGATCCCTACGTGTTTCCGGATTCCACATTTTTTTCGGAAATTAATTTCCCACGACGTAAAAAAAAGCGCTATCGCGTTACAACGATAATATTGTCCTTCCATGAGATATATATTAATAAAGAGGCCAGTTTTTATATGCAATAAAAATGACAACAAAAATTTTAAAAATACGGATATACCCAAACTCTGTTGAAGTTCCTTCCTCGTTCACTTCCCATCTCCGCCGTCTCGAGATATCTTTTGCTTCGAGAATTATACGTATCCGAGTCGAGAAAGATGATCGCGCCATCATCGGCTAATTAATTACGACGTGCTCGTCTCGAAACGATCCCTACGCGTTTCCGGATTCCACATTTTTTTCGGAAATTAATTTCCCACGACGTAAAAAAAAGCGCTATCGCGTTACAACGATAATATTGTCCTTCCATGAGATATATATTAATAAAGAGGCCAGTTTTTATATGCAATAAAAATGACAACAAAAATTTAAAAATACGGATATACTCAAACTCTGTTGAAGTTTCTTCCTTGTTCGCTTCCCATCTCCGTCGTCTCGAGATATCTTTTGCTTCGAGAATTATACGTATCCGAGTCGAGAAAGGTGATCGCGCCATCATCGGCTAATTAATTACGACGTGGTCGTCTCGAAACGATCCCTACGTGTTTCCGGATTCCACATTTTTTTCGGAAATTAATTTCCCACGACGTAAAAAAAAAGCGCTATCGCGTTACAACGATAATATTGCCCTTCCATGAGATAAATTAATAAGGAGAAAAAAGAGGATCCAGTTTTTATATGCAATAAAAATGACGGAAAAAAAAGAAATGCGGATATACCTAAACTCTGTTGAAGGTAATATATCGGAGACACCGCGAATAAAATTAATCGGAAATGAGTTAATGAAATACAAAAACTAACTGATTGAAGAATAAAAGTTAAATGCAACATCATGAACAACTGCATTTCCTATCATAAATTTATTTCGGAGTTTGTTACTCCAGAAGACAGATCGATCTATCTACCACGTATTTAAATAGTAACTATTTTGTGAATTGTATAACATTTGTTTTTTCGCACAAAAATATATATAATATAATTAATCAATAATAATAAAAAATCTCGCTAATACCGCGTTTTGGCTTCATTTGAAAAATTAACAAAGTCAGCGCATTTGAATCAAAAATTAAAAAATTGCTTGAAATTATTTTCATGATTATTCATTGAAAAACCATAGAATGTATATTGTTTGACGTTTTCCTCGGAAAAAAATCGACTTCATATTCATAAAAAAAAAATGGTTTCTTTCTTGTAAATTTAACTGACATTATGCACGTAGAAATCCTTTGTGCACATGATATATGCATAATAGTTATACGGTTATATACATGCCTGTGTGTAACATGCATATGAATGTGCTCAGTATGCTACGCGCTCTTGCCACGCATTTCCCAAAAGCGAGGAATCGAGGAGATTTGGGACGTCCCGTAATTGCCTCGAGGGCATATTGCCTAAAGCGAATCGCAGAAACAAGCCGCGAACGCGATTCAGGCGAACGTTAAAATGAGTCTCGAAATTTCAAAGTCGCTCTCTTCCCTCGTCGCGCGTTTTCCCCCCTAAATCCTCTGACCCCCTCGTCTTTTCTCCTCTTCTTCCCCACGGTTGGCCGGATCAACATATATACGAGCGTCACTTTGTCCCTGACGAAGTTGGCGTTTACGTATGCGAGCAACATCGTCCGGTGGGTTTGGAAGTGCCCGGGGCATTCTGGAACGATGTTGTCGGCCGTGGCCGTTTTGGCCCCGGGGCATCTCGAATACGACAGAGATCGAGCCTGGCTTGGTTCTCCCCTTATATCGGCTCTCGCCAACTGCTCCATTATTCTCGATAGCCGATGGCTAATCGTACAGACGAGGTACCAATTGTAATTTTACGAAGAAAATTTACGATCGATATTGAAAATGTTTCGGCTACACTCGGCGACAATTTTGTCGACACGTGCCCCCTTTTCCTTTTATCTCCTCTATTCTCGAAATTAGCCTTAGAAATTATTTTCATTAATAATTTGTTGCCAATTTTTCACATATTTTTCGCGCTCGCGGTAGTCGACGTATCTTTCATATTAAATTTACAAACGCGATAAAGCTTGTAAAAATTGCAGTTTCTATCACGATACCCTTGTAAGTTATATTCAATAAATCGAACTATATATGTATGTAGTTTCTATAGCGAAAATATGGTTCTGGTCATTAAAGTTCGTGCAATACTACTCGAATAACCGATGTTGTAAGTGGATAGCATCTTAGTTGCAAAGGTCACGTCATATAATTACGAGACTTATCGAGTATGTCTATTTACTGTTCTCTAGTACTTATGTAATGGCATAAATGTAAATAACTAATGACTTTATATCCACTAAAGGATTACACTCAAACATATTCATTTTCTTATAAACAGAATATACTCTTCATAATAAGTATTAATAATTATACATATATTATATAATGTATTAATGTGTATATTTTAAAAAATGTATTGGGTAATATATTAATACTATTATATAATAATACTATATTAATATACACGTATGTGTATATTATCTATTATTTATAATATTTCAATCTACATAATATTTATTAATGTCAAATTATATTTAAAAATATCGTATCATAGCGTAGAATAAATTCACATAAAATACAAAATATAAAAATTATCATCATAGATTAAAATAAATTTAAAAATCAATACTGTGTGACTAATCTTTCTATATCCATATGTAGCAAGGATATAGAAATGATAAACGTATCGGACATCGTTGTATCCTTTTACAAAAGTTGAAGTGCTCGAGGAAGGGTTGAAACTAGCGTGCAATGCAGTCCAGGAGAAGAGAATCGTCGCAAGCTCCGGGCGCTTGCCAAAACGCCGCAAGTTCGTGAGAGACAAAGACGAGCCAATGCAAATTGGCGGCAAGGACAGAGCAATAACTGGCGGTGGTGGGGGTGACGAGGTAGGGGTAGCAGGACCAGCGCGGAGACCGCAACGAGACGGAGAACGCAAGCAGTTGTACGAAAGCCGCGGTAGCGGGTGTGCGGCTCGCGTCACTTTCGTCCTCCCTCGGTCGAAGACACGTGAATGCAACCACGTGGTCCAGTGCGCGACACGAGAGCTGGAGCTGTTCGCGAGGTGTTTTCTAGACAGTGACAGGTTTTCGCGACCGCGACGGGACTCCAGGGTTCCCCAATCCGCAGCCGTGGACGCGAGAACAACCGTCAACCTGGAGCCCACGTGCCAAAAACGGTGAGCGGAATATTATATTTACGATTTACGAATTACTCGCTCGATTATGTGCATGTAAATAGGATAGCGTTGAATGCACAATGAAAAACCTTCGAACTTCGACAAATTTCATGATGTGCATTTTCATGTGAATAATGTCTGTATGAACAAATTGATGTTGCGTGAAGCGAAAAAATTTATTTTACAATAAGATTTATTTGATTTTGGATAATCGATAAATTGCTAAATTATAAAATTGATTAAAGAAATATTAAATAAATTGTCGAGATGTGTAAATTTGCAACATTACGTATGCGGAAATGTCAATTCATGTAATTTTATTAACGTCAATTAATGTAATTTTTAGTTTTACATAGAACTTTAACTTAGAATTGGTTCTGATGGTCCACAACTATTATACACTAACGTAATTTTTAATATAAAATTTTCTCCATGTATTATTATTATTACTATTAATTTTTATTTAGTTATTAATTTAGATGTAGCTACAAAACTAAGTTAGCTGTGATATTTATAATATATTGATATATGAGTTATTTTTTTAGCTGTAGCTACAAAAATAAGTTGGCTGTGATATTTATAAAATTGACATATTATCTTGCTACTAAGGTTATAATTAGCAGCTATATTTTTCACAAAAATTGTTCTAGATGTAGTATTCAAATTCATATTTATCCAATACAGTGATTAATATTTAGAAATAGGATTTAAATTTTCTAGCAGATATTGCTAGAATTTATAGCAGTTAAATTCTATCTGTGACAAACGATATTCTATCAGATACAAAAAAATAGCGATAAATTTTTGTTGCAACAGCTAGGCTATCAACCTACATCTGCAAAACATTTTTTTGAGTGGCTCGATTATGTGCATGTAAATAATATAGCGTTGAATGCACAGTGAAAAACCTTCGAACTTCGACAAATTTCATGATGTGCATTTTCGAATGTATGTATGAACAAATCGGTGTTACGTGAATCGACAAATTTATTTTACAATGAGATTTATTTGATTTTGGATAATCGGCAAATTGCTAAATTATAAAATCGATTAAATAAATATTAAATAAATGATCGAAATGTGTAAATTCGCAACGTTACGTATGCGGAAATGTCGAGGAGCAAGTCGACGCGGGATTAAAATAATATACGATTCAAGGCGCAATGATTGCATCGACCAGAGTTGTGATTGCTTTATGACATAAACCTTAGACGTGATAATTAAATGTCGAGAATTACTGCGAGATCGACAAGGACGTAACTCGTATGTCTGTTTCGCTCTTTACATCGTCGCACAAGTATGCTCCGAGAATATAATTGTTGACGCGTAAATTTCTAGAGGGCTTTATCTTAATTATTCAATCATTTGTATTATGTAGTTTCGCTCACTGAGAGTACCGTTCACTTATATTATAAATCTGTTCTAATTTCATGGATTTCAATATATTTTTTAATTTTAATTTTATTGCTCCAAGATTTCCGGATAAAAAAAACATAATCGTAGGCGAGAAAAACGTCTAGAAAAAGTTATCTTTCTCGGTGTATAAGATATTTGAAACACACACATATTGCGTGACAAACTGATATTTACGTATGGAAATGGTATACTTTCACGTAGTTAATTATGTCGCTGGTAACTCGTGAGGTGCGGCTAAGTATCATTCTAGTTCAAAAAGTTCGGTGTAACAAGAAAATAATTTCAATAAAAACAGACATTTCCGGATTGAGGATTAAGCATCAATCTAAGTAAAATCCACTGTATCTAAAAGACATAACATTTGATTAACTGATCAGAATAATTTTAATCTGAATTTGATGATTTCTTAACGATTTCGAAACCTTTACAGATTAATTTGGAGAAAGTAATGAAATTCAAACTTTATCTAACCCACATTTTTGCGCAGAAATATTATTTTTCTATTACGTCATTCTATAATTTATTTCGTTTATAATTCACATTGCTGTTTTTTTATAAATACATATACTGCAAGTTATGTATTATCTTCTTGATTAAAATTCCGCTTCTCATCTCTTCTAAAACTAGAACTGAGGGCTTAATTTTTCACATCCTTGTAACGCCTTTTAGATACCTGCGTTGCAATAATTTTTCTTCGCGAGAAAATGCTACGACACCGGATAATCACCTACACGTATGAGGCATTTTTATTGCAATTGAATTAAAGTTGAGTCGATAGAAAGTCAATCTGATCTCACGACACCGCGGGTAAAGAAAGTTTAATCTATGCCAGACGTGTCCGCGCGCGAGAGGGTGTCGGTGCCTTTAGAAATGCATATGTAGAAACACGACAGGACAATGCAATTGCTCAATCATACGTTGCATTCCCTCGTCATCGAACAATAGTTACGATCAATTATGCATTTCGCGTCGCAAGTAATCACACGCGATGCAAAGAAAAGGCTTCAGAAGAGGATAAAAGGTTGGCATAACATTGAATATTTCATGTTGAGACGAACTGCATATAGATTAATCAAAAATCGAAATAATGGCTCCATTACCGACAAAATTAACGATGAGTATAATACAGAATAATTTATAGATAGGACTATGAAAAAGAAGATTAATTGAAAATTTTTTCCGATATTTATTTCATTCCTTTTTAGACTTTAAAATCTAAAACTTGATGTATTTTTAATTTTTTTATAATATATTTCTAATAATATAATAATAATATAAATAATATATTATAATTATATAAATTATGTGTAAAATAAGTTATACTCTCTCTTAGAGAATTTATGATACTTTTAAATACTTTTGTGTGAGATTGATCTGCAAGATTTCGCATTAAGATTCGTAACTGATGGATCGATACTTTGCTCTTCTTGACAAAATGAGCTATAGAAGTTCGTGTATTAAATGTATTAGTTCGTTAAGGTAGCTGAATATTCACAATAATTAGCTAAAAATTAGACAAGTCAAAGAATTGAAATATAAAATAGGACATAAATAAAATAAAAGAAAATTTGCCTTTATACATATCATATATAATACAATATATAATCGCGATCGCGCATGAATTGAATAACGATTAACATGAATATAATTAGCTAGCTGACATGTAAAAACTGTGATGCAATTTTCAATCACAACATAATTAATATCACATGTGCTTTTCCTTGGTTCAATCTTTTATTTCCCCCTAGATATCTCACCGCAGTGATTGCGAATTAATAAGCAGTTGTACTTCACGTTTAGCTTATGATGGAATTTTATAGTACTATTCAGTTAGAGCAATTTTGCGCATTAAATAAACATAATAACTATAAATACAAATAATAATTAAAAACGCAGTTGCGTAATTTAATTACGTAAAATCTTTATATAATATATAGTTAAAGATCCTTCTGATTGAAACTCATATACGATATTAATAAACGATGGCATCACATTAATTGCGTTAATTGCAGTCGAACGTGACACAAACTCTATTTATCTCTCCGCATGAGAGATGCGCGCACATATAGTTGTAGAAAAAAAATATATATACATATATAGACTGTAGAAACTTTTCAAAAATTGGTTGCAACGTAATAGTCGATGTACACCTCGAGCTACAAAAAGGAGGGAGCGAGAGAAGGAGCATGCGGAACACGAGAGAAAACGAGCGATAGAGAGAGAGAGAGAGAGAAATTGAGAGAGGCGAGAGGCCGGAGGGGGAGGAGGATTGCTAGCATTTCAGAACGGATGTGGGCTCTGTGGAAATTGTGCTGGATAGGAAAAGGGAGGTTGGAAACTGGCTGGAGGGATGGCCGGGAGCGCAGACGCGCGCTCTGCAGTTGCCGTAATTAGAACCGTGCGCCCCGAGCACATAGCCCAGGGCTGACGAGTCTCCTGCGGACCGAAATTATTCATGAAGCCGCGCCACCCACGGCGAAATTTTCTCGTAAATATTTTGCCTCGTCCGAGATATCGCCCCGAATATACGTGTACGTATGTTTGAGCGACAAACGCGGATGTTCGTGCGCGCGCGCGTATTCCGGTCCATCCCTTTTAGTCCTAACGAAGCTCAATCAGAGCCTCTTGTTAGCAAGAAAATGAAAATCGAAAGAACGAATCGTTAATCCGCGATAGAAATCGCGATTTCCACGGCTATTGCGTTTAATGATCGTAGAAGATTTTAATTATCGCGCGTTTGATAAATCAATTTAATTTTTTTCCTCATTTAGGATAATGAAGATTATTACGCAGCGAGAAAAATTGATCGGTTTAATTTCATTTTAAATTTTAAACATACGCAACAAACATTTTTTTCACATTAATGATTAATTCGATACATTAATCCAAAGAAAAAATATGATAAAAAGCGTATAAGCTCTATATAATATATAATTAATCAATTTTATGGATCGGAACAAAGTCTTCTTTTTATTACTCTCGTTAGTAATGATAAATTAAGAATAAAAATATATGTCATAAAATATACATTAGAGATGAATAATCAACATATTCGCAACATATGTAAATTTTTATATCGAAAAAGAAATTTTAATTCAATATAAAACACTAAATGACCAATCAACGCGCATATGCATTATTATATGAAATATGTGAAATTTCTTCGATCATTGATTACATTAAGCATGTAATAGCGTATATATAGAATGATTCACATAAATAAAATATACACTGTAAAATTCAAAATAATGTACTCTTTCCTGGAAATATGTTATTTATGGATACGGCCTGCAGCGAAAATAAATTTGTATGACGATATGTGATTACCTGCCGTAATTAAATTAATTAAAATCCTACTTGGCAATTAAATTATAACACGCTTGATCTCTGCATTTAATATTACCGCGCTTATTTTCCGCTCATATTCTACATTTATAAAGAATTAGATACATTAAATTAAATCATATTTTACTAATTATAAAATTCGTTATTTTATATATTAGTTTCATGCATACGCATATAACTCAATTTAAAAAATAGACCGCTGTTTATCAGATTTACAGCTATTTATTCAATAAATAAAA